ACTAGTCTGGAGCAGTGCCAATTTCACTGCTCGATTGAGCATAAATTTTCAGAGGGAAAAGAATTCAGTTCTAACTAGCGGTATCTTTGTCTATTCCAGCCACAAAGAAAGTGTGCATACGATAGACATTTTTATTTTTTTATTGAAGTACCTCTAAAGTCCTGTGGGCAATAAGGTATTCTGCTTCCACAGATGCATCTCAGGCGAGCCCCTGTTCTTTTTTTTTTCTTTAATATTTTTACTTTAAAGACATGTTTCCCCTTACTGATTTAATCGAGCACTAGTGTGGAAAATTGCGCTTAGCAGCCTTGAACTGTAAAAATTAAAAATTATTTTTTCATAGTTTTGCTTCGTTCATTCAAACTCTGTTAGGCCATTATATCTGAAGAGTGAAGAAGTGATAAAAATGAAGTGTGAACACCTTCTTGCATCCACTTTAAAAGTTTACCTGGAAACCAGGCACGATTAGACAAAGTCTGCCTCAATGTGGCGTGACTTGTATAGTTTATGGCACCCAAAGTCATCTATTCTCGAGGAGGCAAATATTCAGCGAAGTCGCGGGCGTTTGGGCAAAACACCTCCGAATGCAGGAGCTCAAGTGCCTTGTCATTGCTGCCATCCTTAGCCTTCTCAGCTAAAACTCTGGGCTTTAGCTGCGATGCCCTTTGTAGTTTTGCTATATCGCCCTGAAATCTTGCTTTTGAGAATATTGTGCCGTTACCATTTACACCCATGTTCTAGAGTTGCTCTGTGCCAATTTCACTGCTTGACTGAGCAGAAATCTTCAGAGGGAAAAGAATTCAGTTCTAACAAGTTGTATTGTTTGTCTATTCCAGCCGTATAAAAAATTTGCATACTGGTAGACATTTTTTTTTTCTGAGGTAACACTTCAGTTTTGGAGGCAATAAGTAATTGCAAGGTCTCAGGTGAGCACCTGTTCTTTTTTCTTTAATATTTTTACTTGAAAGACAGTTTTTCCCTCACTGAATTAATTGAGCACTAGTCTGGAGCAGTGCCAATTTCACTGCTCGATTGAGCATACATTTTTAGAGGGAAAAGAATTCAGTTCTAACAAGCGGTATTGTTTGTTTATTACAGCCACAAAGAAAGTGTGCATACGGTAGACATTTTTTCTTTTTTTTTTAAGTACCCCTAAAGTCCTGTGGGCAATAAGGTATTCTGCTTCCACAGATGCATCTCAGGTGAGCCCCTGTTCTTTTTTTCTTTAATATTTTTACTTCAAAAAAGCTGTCCCCTCACTGATTTAATTGTGCGCTAGAGCGGGAAATCGTCCTTAGCAGCCTTGAACTGTAAAAAAATGCACATTGAAGGGATTGTTAACTTTGTTTTCCATCTTTTTGCTTCATATGTAGTGGAATCTCTTTAATTCAAACTCTGTTGGACCACAAAAAATCCTCTGAGGTAAATTGTATCTGCAGAGCGAAGAAGTGATAACAATGAATCGTGAACGCCTTGCATCCACTTAAAATGTTTACTTGGAAACCATGCATGATTACACAAAGTCTGCCTTATTGTGGCTTGACTCGTTATATAGTTCAGGGCTTCTCAAACTGGGTTCCGAGGAACACAGGGGTTCCACGAGCTGGTCTCATGGGTTCCGCCAACACCCAAATTGCAACCCTCCATGTCGCAGGCTGCGCGGCAGGTGGCAGGACCATGCGAAGCGCCTTCATCTTACTTTGTACTGACATCTCGATTGATATTGTGGGGATATATGGGAAGCAACACAAGCAACATTGCCTACAATTGTGCATCTGTTGCCTCTCGGTCGACAAATATGGAGGGGAGGGGAGGTTCCACGGCAGTTTTTGATGCTTCCTGGGGTTTCGTGAGGCCAAAAAGTTTGAGAATCCCTGATATAGTTTATGGCACCCAAAGACATGCTATTCTGGAGGAGACAAATATTCAGCGAAGCCGCGGGTGTCTGGGCAAAAGACCTCCGACAGCAGGAGCTCGGGTGCCTTTTCATGGCTGTCATCCTTAGCCATTTTAGCTAAAGCTCCGAGCTTTAGCTGCAATGCTCTTTGTAGTTTCGCTATATAGCCGTGAAATCTTACTTTTGGGACTATTGTGCTGTCACCATTCACACCCATGGTCTAGAGAAAGTCTGTGCGAATTTCACTGCTTGACTAAGCAGAAATCTTCAGAGGGAAAATAATTCAGTTCTAACAAGTTGTATTGTTTGTCTATTCCAACCACATAAAAGGTGTGCATACTGGTAGACTTTTTTTTTTTTTTACTGAACATTTCAGGTTTTGGGGCAGTAATTGCAAGGTCTGAGGTGAGCATCTGTTCTTTTTTTTTTATTAATGTTTTTACTTTAAAGATAACTTTCCCCTCACTGATTTAATTGAGCACCAGTGTAGGAAATTGCCCTTAGCAACCTTGAACTGTAAAATTGTTCACTGGATGGATTGCTCATTTTTAACAAAGCGTTTTGTCTCTTCTAGCCGTATGAATTGTATGCATGAAAGTGGACATTACTTAAACCATTGTTTCAGTCCTGCAGACAATAAGTCATTGCTAATTGAGGCTGGTCACTGCTAGTCACAAGCATCGACAAATTTCTGGAGCTATTCAGCACAAATGAAGCACCTTATCTGGTGTATTGCTTGTTAACCTCAAAGTGTGTTTCGTATAGCAGCGTGCAGGTTCTGGTTGAGTTGAGTTCGGGCTCCTTTACTCCTACTCTGGGCGCAGCAACTAAATGTATAGTGTACGAGAGTGTGACACACTGGAACAGTTGACGAGCCGCATAAGCCCCTTCTTATTGCACAGTTGTGACTAATTTGGCGCCTCATGGATGCGGGTGGCAGAAGCCAAAATTATTTCGAAGAAAAATAAAGGCCTGTGGGGAACAACAAAATGTAAAGTAAAAAAGGCGGCAACATTATGAAGTTTCGTCAAATGTTTTAATACTCCTGAAATGTTTAGAGATTCACTTTGAACACGTGTGCGGAAAGTTAGCATTACCAAACTGTTTATTGACCAAGCATACTGCGCAGATTTAAATGAGAACATTCTTGTGTCGACACAGGTAATTGTCAAACTTTTCAGAGTGGCAAACCAAATTGAGCCCACTTTCAATTTGTTTTTCAAGCGAGATGCACAAACACAACTTTTCTGGAATGCTGATTGATGTGTCAGCTTAGCTTTTTAAATGAAGCATTTTTATTCGCTCAACTAAGCCTTGTAAAAGGACAGGTGTCAGACTGTCTTCTCATCTCGGCAAGGTTACCGTTCGATAGATAGCACATTAATTTGTTTTCTTGCGAGATCCGCAAACAAACCTTTTCTGGAACACTAATTGCGTTCTTGGCTTCTACGAATCAGTTTTATCTGCTGGATTAAGCATTATTCAACTAAAAAAAGGCTGCAGTTCGACTGCACCCTTCGTCTCGACAGCGTTTCTGTCGGCGCAGCCGTCTTGTTTGGAGAGGAGACATCAGGGAGAGTGAAGAAGTCGCTCACGCTCCAAGAAAAACTCTGTGCTTGAAGAACGTGCTCAAGTGTCGGTCTCTGGCGGCACTCCTGTCCGTTTACCAAACAGAACTTTAATCACTAGAAAACTGACCATGTTTTATTGTAAGATTGAACACTTATTGTTATGGTATGGGGGCTGCAAACCTCCTTTCCCTTTTAGAGCGCAGCTCTTAGGGGCCCGTTTCCAGCCTGAGCGGCGTCGGCGTCGGCGTAACCGCGAGGTCACGTGACCCCCTGAGGTCACGTGACCCCCCTCAGGTCACGTGTCCCCCCTCAGGTCACGTGACCCGCCTTAGGTCACGTGACCCGCCTTAGGTCACGTGACCCCTTGAGGTCACGTGACCCCTTGAGGTCACGTGACCCCTCTGAGGTCACGTGACCCCTCTGAGGTCACGTGACCCCTCTGAGGTCACGTGACCCCTCTGAGGTCACGTGACCCCCTAAGGTCACGTGACCCTTTCAGGTCATGTGACCCCCGAGTCACCTATCCCTCAGTACGCTTCCATCTTCCTCCTCAAGAGCTGCGCTCTAACCGGCGTTACAGGGAATTGTAAACAGCTTTCACTTTTTTTTCATCATAAAGTTGGGGGTCTGAGAACCCCCTGGCTTAAAGCACTGATGCCATGCACGTTGGAAATTTGAACTGGGGGAGATGTCAGGTGTAACACACATTCCCCAAAACTAGCATTTCAGGTTGTACTCTGTGGGCACGATGTTTAAAAAAAAGCTGAAAAAACCCTTAGATAAAATAATATATATATATTATTGTGAGCACCTTAAAAATGGTGTGTGAATTTTTATTTCAGTCTCGTTAGTAGGTGAAGTGACTGTAGACCATGGCGTGCTGGCGAACAAGAAGTGCTTTATTCCTGAGCGCAGCGTTTTTATCACAGACATGACGTCACGAGCCGGGCGGCGCTTCCGCGATGACTCAGTCGCGATAACTCAATCCGCACGCTACAACATTTCCTTCCCCCTCACGCAAAAAATGTTCATTTCCTAAAGTCCTCGGGTTTAAAACGGTCAGGCGGCTTGCATGCGCGAGAAGTTCGTCGAAGGGGTTGCTTCTCCGCTGTCGTAGACGGAACCGGCGTTGCTGCAGTAGGTGTCGCCGGTCCTTCCCGGACGTGGTCTGCGGGTGGCGCTGGTGCTGTTGCGTCAGGCGTCGGCGTCGTACCAGCCGCGTCTGGAGGTGGCGCCGCTAGCGTCGGTGCCTTCGCACTGGGTGGTGCTGACGGCACCTGGGCTGGAAAGCTCGTGGGTGGCGGTATCGATGGATCGTCATCCACTGTCGTACGGCCCGGTGTCACGATGGGTTCCACATGTCGAGGACGCAGGTGGTCAGCGTGCGTGAAGCGAAGCTGGTTGAGCACTTTCACAACGTAGGTCGCAGCACTGACAACCTGACACACGATTCCTTCTTCCCAGGAGACACACTCACCGCGCACTGTTTTCACAAAAACACGGTCGCCCACGTTGAACACACGTTCAGCATCTCACGACACATCGCGTTGTTCCTTCACATGTTCTTGCTTGCGTTGCATGGCGCCGGCAAAGTCGGGTTTAAGCAGGGAAAGTTTTGTGCGTGGCTGGCGCCTTAGGAATAGTTCGGCGGGCGTTTTCCCAGTCACGCTGTTTGGTGTGTTGCGATAACAGATCAGAAAACTGTGAACATTTTCCTGAAGAGAACACTGCCGACCGGTTGCTTCGCCTTCGAGCACCTGCTTGAGCAATGCTCGTTTCACAGTTTGAACCGTGCGCTCTGCGGCACCGTTAGAGGCTGCGTGGTAAGGCGGGGTGCGAATGTGTTTCACGCCGTTGGCGTTCATGAAGTCAGCAAACTCAGCTGACGTGAACTGCGGACCGTTGCCGCTCACTAGTACCTCGGGCAAACCGTAAGCAGAAAAGGCTCCTCGAAGTTTTTCCAATATTTTAGTGGTGGATGTAGAAGACATCACCCAAACCTCGATCCATTTTGAAAATGAGTCGATGAGCACCAGAAACACATGGGCACCCTTTGAAGCGAAATCCACGTGCACACGCGACCAGCACCGGGCTGGGTAGCTCCAGGGATGCAGTGGTACCGGACGGGCGGCGGGCTGAACTGCTTGGCAGATTTGGCATTTCTGTACGTGATGCTCGATAGCCGCATCAATTCCAGGCCACCATACAAAACTTCGTGCCAGCATCTTCATGCGGCTGGCGCCTGGATGCTCCTCATGCAGCAAGTTCAGCACGCGGTCCTTTAGCTGTTCCGGGATCACTACACGGATACCCCATGTTACACAACCTTGTTCAAGTGAAAGCTCGTCGCGGCGCACGTAATAAGGCCCAAGTTCTTGCGCGTGCGGTCTTGGCCAACCTAAACTCAGCAACACGGGACAATGTAAGGCTTCGTTTTGAAAACTTTGCAATCTCTACGTTCAATGGGAGGCACTGAAACACTGAGAGGCACTCAGCAGGTTCTTCCTCAGCGGGCACCGCCTGAGGCAATCTCGACAGAGCATCAGCCACTTCCATGTTTTTCCCTCGGCGATACTTCAGCCGATATTTATAAGCTGCCAGCACCATGGCCCAACTCTGCATTCGTGCGGCGGCCAGTGTCGGTACAGGCGTTTCCTGGCCTAAAATGCCTAGTAGCGGCTGATGATCAGTGTAGATTGTGAACTCTCTGCCAAAAAGATAGCGATGAAACTTTTTGAGACCAAAGATTAACGCCAAAGCTTCGCGCTCGCACTGAGCATACTTTTTCTCGGCTGGCGTTAACGTTCTTGAGGCAAACGCGATAGGCCTCTCTTCGCCGTCAGCAGTCTCGTGAAAGATAACTGCTCCTAGCCATACGAGGACGCGTCACAGAGCATTCCGATCGGCTTATCGACGTCATAGAATGTCAGCACCTGGCTGCTAGTCAGCAACTTTTTCGTATTAGCAAACGCCTCGCTGCATTCCTTCGTCCATGACCATTTCTGATCCTTCTTCAAAAGCCGATAAAGCGGCTCTGCGACTGTTGAACCATTCTGTAAAAACTTCGAATAGAAGTTCAACATGCCAAGATATGCCTTCAATTCTGTGACGGTGGTGGGCTCAGGTGCTGCCAAGATCGCTTTTTTCTTGGCCTCTGTAGGGTAAATCCCGTCTGCGGTCACCGTGTGACCCAGATACGTCACGGATTCTTGGAAGAAACGGCACTTGTCCGCGTTGAGCGTGATGTTGTACTCACGCAACCTTCCCAAGACACGTTCGAGACTCTTTTGGCAGTCTGCCGTGTCAGATCCTGCCACGATTACATCGTCAATGTAGCATCCGACGTGCGGAATGCCTTTTAGCACCTCATCCATCATAGACTGAAATATTGCGGGTGCACTAGCCACACCGTAGGGAAGGCGTTGGAATTCAAAAAGACCCAAGCTAGTGTTAACTGTCAAAAATGGTCTGGACTCTGGAGTGAGTGGCACCTGCTGATACGCCGCAGAGAGGTCAAGTACGCAAAAAACCTTGCCTCCTGCGAGGACAGAATACAGGTCCTCCGGCCTGGGCAGCGGATAGCGATCGGTTTTCAAAACAGGGTTTATCGTTACCTTGTAGTCTCCACAGAGTCTGAGACTACCGTCCTTTTTTGGGACAACCACAAGTGGTGTTGCCCAGTCACTGCGCGCTACTTGTCGAAGCATGCCCGTTTCTACCATGCTGCGCAGCTGGGTTTCTACCTGCTCTCGCAAAGCAAAGGGAACAGGTCTAGCATGGCTAAACACAGGGACCGAACCAGACTTCAGCAAGATCGTCGCTTCGAACTTCTGTATGGTGCCCAGTGTTTTTGAGAACACGGAACTGTATTTCCTTTGCAGTGCCTGAGCCCTATCTTCCGTTGTGACTTGGCCAATCTCATGCCAGTCCAGCCTTAAACGCTGGAGCCAGTTCCGTCCAAGCAGCACTGGAAGCCTCCTTCCATTGTCTTTGACAATTACTACGGGCAACGTCATACTTTGACCCTTGTACACAACAGCGACGTCACACTGTCCTTTGAGCTGCAGATGTTCTCCAGTGTACGTGCGAAGTGACATTTTAGCCGGACCACATTTTACATGTGGAAAAACAGAGTCGTACACGCTCTCAGGAACAATTGTGACTGCCGCCCCTGTGTCAATTTGCATGATTAAGGGTTTCCCTTCAACTTGAACACTCACTTCGTAACACGGTTGAGTCGTATTTATAAAATGGTACACGTCATGCTCAGTGTCTTCGTCAGAACATTCCAGAGCATTCGTGTTCTTCGGCACCCTTGTGTTTGGACACATTTTCTGCAAATGTCCTACTCTCGAGCACTTGCGGCAGACAAAGCTCTTGTACCAACAAACATTCGATGCATGACTCCTACCACATCTTTCACACCTTCCCTTTTTAGGCCCTTGAATATCTTTAGGTTTCGAGCCCTTTCATCGTCCCTTTTGTCGACTTTGTATATCGTTTAACGATGCCTCTTTGTCTCTCGATTGCATGAGTGCAGTGTCTCGAGCCGCCAGTTCTCGATCGAGCGCAATCTTGCAAGCGCCTTCAAACGTTAAGTTTTCCTCGGCAAACAAGGCACGCTGGCTCTCTTCATTACGTACGCCTGCTACTAGCCTGTCCCGAAGGGCGTCTTGCAAGAAGTTGCCAAAGTCGCATTTCCTAGCCAAGTGTTTCAGTTCAACTATGAAGTCTTCTACGCTTTCATGTTCGTCCTGAACACGTCTGTTGAACTTACAGCGCTCCGCTATAACGGAACTCTTAGGGCTGTAATGTTCTATTAACAACTGTTTAACAACTGCATACGACTTCTCGCCAGGGGACGCCGGCACGACCAGACTCTTTAGCACTTCATAAGCCTCAGGGCCTATCACTGTCAGAAATACGGGAAGCACTTTCTCGTCCTTTATGTCGTTTGCCACTAAAAAATGTTCAAATCGTTCCAAATACGATTCAATGTTCTGTGTCTTAGGGTCAAACTCCGATATTCTTCCCAAGCGTGACATTTCGGAACCCCAAAAGAAACACAGTACTCATCCGCTCGACGTTCCCTTGCGTAGCAGGTTGTCCCCGTTGCTGTTCAAGTCGAGTTCCCGAGGCGAAATCTCGGGGGCGTTGCTCGTTGCCCTTTGTCGGTACACGAAGGCGGTGGCCGGCGTGCTGCTTGCGATGTCATACTTTGGGAATATGTAGCGTCGCTGGCAGGCTTCAACGCATGACAAGCTGCGCTTGCTCTTCCGTGGCCGTGCGTTCCTTCGCGTCACTCGCTTCGCTGTCGCTTTCCGTCGCCTACGAGGGCACGTAGACAGCCTCGTCGCCAAATGAAGTGACTGTAGACCATGGCGTGCTGGCGAACAAGAAGTGCTTTATTCCTGAGCGCAGCGTTTTTATCATAGACATGACGTCACGAGCCGGGCGGCGCTTCCGCGATGACTCAGTCGCGATAACTCAATCCGCACGCTACAACAGTAGGAGCGTTGTAATTGCCATTATTAAAAGTTCTCTGTAGCCCCACCCATTGCAGCAGGCTGAGCGCAGCAGAGCGCGAGAGTGGAGATAAAAACTGGCAAAGGTAACGTCATCGGCAGGGTCAGATGACCCTTGCTCAGTATAGACCAGTGTCCGCGCCAATTCCAGGGCACCGCCATTTTTATCTACGCTCGCGCCACCACGCGGAGAGAACTGGCAAGCAGGAGGGGGGGGCTGACTTGGCGGCGTTGCTTTGGGGAGCTGGATGCGGCAGGCTGTCCGAATGCACCGGCACATCGTGAACGATGTCTTCACCAGAAGCCTCCGCGACCCGTTCTTCAACAGATAAGATGTCGTGAACATTCGAGAACCCATCTCGATCAAGAAAACAAGAGAAAACCTTTCTTGTCTTAAATGTTCTCGGTGTCTGCTGACCCTTGACATCCGCGTTTCAGTCCGGGTTCATTACGTAGTAAATATTTCGCTACCGCTTTCTTGTAGCTTTCAAATGCTTGATTGTTGGCTTCTTGTATACGACATTACATTCGTGGCAGGTTCGAGACCGATTTTCGCGATCTGCTTGCCTTTCTGCGGCAGCGCGGCTCTGCCGAACCGAAATAGGTGGGAGGCGTTCACTTGATCGAACGCCGTTTTAGCGAATGCAAACGAGACCACGACGTTTCATCGAATGACTAGCGAATGGGTCTAGTTACATAGACAGCTCGGATTAGCTTTCTTTTGTAATGTGGCGCCTTGTCTGCTGCTGCGAAGCGGCGTAAACGAGGGCTCCGAGTATGCTAGCACGCGTCCCCCCCCCCCCCCCACACACACACACACAATCACACACTGCGAGCGTCTGGGTTCGAAACTATTAATTGCCAGTTCTAAAGGATGGTACTTACTTGAAGTGGGAGCTGGAATTCTACGAGGTACCAGGAGACACTTACTATCGGGCAACGAAGCACGGTGCCTGTGGGGGCGGAGTCTAGGAACGCTACTGATTAATATTGTGACAGGCGATCAGTTATGATAGCAGACGAAACTTCGACTCGTTTGTTCAGAAGTTCGCGGTGATATTTATTAGCCCTCGTTACAGCACACCAAGGATCTTAGGCAGTGAAATTCACATCACGCAGGCGCGTCCGTCGTAGTCAAATGAGCGCAGTCGACGACGAGGTGTAATGAGCTACTAAGCTTCACAAGGAAAATGCGCGTGAGAAAGAGTTTTGAGTAAGTCCAAAACACCGATCCAGCAGACGCACGTACGTACGTTTACTCCGGACTTCATGAACCCGACGGCGCAAGATCAAAGAGCACCGCCGCCATCGCCACCCGGTTTTCTCTGCACTTTGTGCGACGACGGCACTGCAACGGAGGGCACTCGCCTCGGCGTTAACAATTCGCGAAATAGATTAATTTACCACTCTTGAAGCCATTCTAAATGATAAATGAAAATACCTCGGCGTTGTTGAACATCTGACGA